GTATGTGATGCTGATGTTTTTCTTTTTGGCAATCTCGGAGTACAGGTTCTGTAAACATGGGTTGTAAGTTACAGGAACTCTGTCTTTAGGATCTGGTCTTTCGTCATTCTGCAATGCATCTTGTGCGGATATTTGGATATGACTTAGTTTCCTGAATAAGTTATTCACAAGGTTGTGATAATCATGGCGTTTCGCTATATTGGATATGGTTCTAAGCTCGGATTTTAGAGCAGCCGTCGTTGATGAATGAGTATAGGCTCTTTTAATTAATGTGTTGAACGCTGCCATTTTATATCGGAAAGGATCACATGATCCTATTGGTATGTATAGCAGTTCCGCAATAGGTTTCCTGTATACCTCCGTGCGGATCATCGTTCCATCCACATAAATGCTAATATCCAGAAAATGAACATGTGTGTCATGTGCTTGATCCAGCTCTAGAGTTAAACCGTATCTGTTGTCATTGACCGATTCTAAGAAAGCTGATACATCAGGCTTAACGTTCCATAAAATGAGGATGTCATCTATATATCTCCTGTATAATATGATGTTAGAGAGATGGATGGGGAGGATTCTTTCTTCTAGTTGACGTATTACTAATTCGCATAAGTCTCCTGCAACAGGGCTCCCCATCGGTACACCCCTAGATTGCATGTACGTTGTGCCTTTGAATTGAAATAACGAGTTGTAGCATAAGAGGTGCAACATCTCTAAGACTTGTTGCTGTAGGTTAGCATCATCAACTATTCTGAATAAGAGATCCCTGAGGGCACAAAATGTAGGAAGAAGAAGAATCGATGGGTATAGGGACTTAAAATCGAATACAGTAAGGAATTGTGGAGGGGTGTTGACCTGCTTGAGGTATGTTAGGAGTTGTTCACTGCTATTCACTGTATAGAGGTAGTCTTGCAAGTAAGGAGAAATCAAAGAATGCGTGAGCTTTTCTAACTTATGGGTTGGTGCTCTAGTTTTATCAACCATTGGTCAAATCTGTTGTCCCGACTTATGCGTTTTCGCAAACCCAAAAAGTTTGGGTGTATCGGGTGAGTCCATTACAACGTTCCTAAGTTTCAATCTTTTCGCCAACTTACTGATGCTGAATCTTTTAACCTTTGCGTGTAATTTCTCCATTGCCTTGTTATTCACCCTTTCACATCTCGTAACGTTGATGTAATCCATTAATAGGCGATCGTAAGTCTCTTGCCTCATGACAACCATAGTTTTAGCCTTGTCAGCCCTGATGAGTGTGATCCCATTTCTACTCATCCATCTGCGGGCACGTAGTAACTTCATTCGTATATTCATTGCTGCAGAAGATGTTTTAGCTCTTAAAATTCTGTTTACAGCCATCCATCGGTAGTACTCCTTTGTTCTGTCCGGAAGGCCCTTGAGGAGAGATTCTATATCCGGGACGAAACCTAAACTCCTAGTGGGAGGTGGAGGTGCGAAATTTGGGCTGTACTCAAATGCCTCCTTGACGAAATTCGGCAACTGGATGTCATCCCAAACCACAAAAGGGAAAGTCGGGTGTGTATGTTGTTTAGGCACTTGAAATCTTAAAATCCATCGGATTTTTTGTTGGTAATGCTCAGTCCATTTACTATTTAGCTTATCATAGTATGGTATTAAGCTGGCATTCTCATGTGCCAACACATCCGGATGCTGATTGTATAACTCCGTTTCAATATCAATTAGATCTGCTAAGAAAGAATAAACTTTCTTCCTCGTGACCCGAATGGCCCTGTTTAAACACATTTCTTTTACCTTACTAAGGAGAGGCTCATTCCCCGGTGGTAGCCTAATACGATGAAACGACATTGGTAGGATTCCCATTCTTTTGCATTCCTTCAAAAACTCAAACTTTGCTCTAGCCTTGATTAGCTTAACGAGCATTCTAGAGTAAGGAGTAGCCGGCATCACTACTATAATCAAACTTCTCAACAACATCGTGTTATAGCAAAAATAAACAACTACAAACCTTTACGGTGCGATATTGAATAAAATCAAGATAAAAAGTTCCCACAAACGTTTTCAAACCTAATTACGGTTCTTCCTCAGGTGAAAAAATCATTCGATGGAATGCAAAGTTTGAAAGCACAAATATCCGCACAAGATGCATTGCAGAATGACGAAAGACCAGATCCTAAAGACAGAGTTCCTGTAACTTACAACCCGTGTTTACAGAACCTGTGCTCTGAGATTGCCAAAAAGAAAAACATCAACATCACATACAGATGTCCTACGGTATATAATATACTCTGTAATGATAAGGATGGCCCCAACAATCACATGCTATCGGGAGTATATGTCATCCCTTTGAGTGATCATTGCTGTAATGAAGAATTATTATACATTGGCTCCACTAAACGCTCGTTAGGTGTCAGAATAAAGGAACACAGGGCTGACATACAGCACGAAAGATTATCTACTGCACTGGCTCGTTATGCTACGGATCCGGACANTCCCCAAATTTTTATTTATTTAGTTACTATAAACTGATTCTCTAGTGGTTCAAATGTAATAATAATAAAAAACAAACAAGATGTTTTCCTGTCTTGGGTTTTTTTTTTTATTAAATTTGATTCTAAAAAGTGTGACAGTTGTGAAAATGAGTCATTAAATTCTTTAAGTGAGTCATTATATTTTTAAATTTCTTATAAATCTAGGTCCTAATCAGTCAATTTATAATAACGTACAACTACACACTGGAGTTTACTAAATATTACGTACCTCCGAAACCTTTAAATTTATTCACATCGGTTAAAGGTTTTGGAGGTACGTAATATTCAGTCAATTTATCATAGTGATTCAACTTTGACAAAGTTTAAAGTTTTAATATCCTTTTTAATTACAGCCTCTTCATTTTTTTAGTAGGTCTATCAATTTCTATATCATTTTCTTGTTCTTACAAGCAGTATTGTTATTAATCAATCTTTTGCCAATAAAAATCTTTAATAAGTCATATAGGTCATTTACTGGATCCATAATTTTCTTACATGATTGCAATAATTACATGTTTATATTTTTTTCCTTGATATAATCATGTTTCTTGTCACAACAACTCTCCATATCTTCACATCTTTTCTAGTACTGTTTTTTTTTTATAAATGTACCAGATATTTTTATTTACATTATCATTTTTAAGTATGTTAGAAATACTTACATTTTGCAATTATAAAAGATTAGTTGATAACTTCCTTATGCAGAGCACTTTGATTCATTACATTAGTTTCATCTGCTTCAATTGAAACAATTCGTTACATTTACAAGATGTCAGATTACACTTTGTAATAGGTTTTAAGTTAGTAGTCATCTTGTAAATTTTGAAAAATCTTTCTAATTTTTCAAATCCTAATTTATTTTAGTCTATAAATAAATATGTTTATATATATATATAATTTTGAAACAAATTTTTTGAACTTGAATAACTTTGTAAATAAATTATCCAATCTTGATTTGAAAAATAATAATTTTCTGTTTGTTTCTTAATATTTGAAAAAAAAATAAGACAAATTATGAGCTTTATCTTTATGCAAAATGGTGTATGTCTATAACAAATATTTCATATACCATTGTCCCTGCTTAATTTGAAATGCTCAGGACCTTGAAAATGGGACTTTGTATTATCTGATTTCAAAATTTAGGGGTAATGTTTTTTAAACAAATATCTGTATGGATTTTTACACTGTTCTACAGACCATCGTTGCTATATATCGTGCCAAAAATTTTGGTAAAAAGCATTTTTAAATTTTTGATTTTCAGTTCCTAATTGGGCTAGAATCGATCTGTTTTTATTTTTTATCACAAACATATCATAGTATACAATTGTTATACTTTTAATATAACACAGGTTAAAAGAAATTATTTTAAAAATTCAAAAAACACATAAATTTTATTAAGAGTGTTAAACACAAGATCATGTTAATAATCAATCACATGGCTTCTTTTCCATCATTATTTATACGGTATTTCAATATTATATTTTACAAGTAAATTGCACAAACAATATAAAATATATGTATGTAACTTACACATATCATTAACCACGATATGGCACTTGTACACTATAAGTTTGCATATCACAAACCCGAAGAATGAGATGGTTACACGGACATTATAAAATTCCTGTACATCTAGTTAAAATGGTAAAGCGGTATATAAAAAATACACAAGATTATGGGTATTAACAAAATGAAGTCTTACTGTTAATTATATTCCTTTCTCCTATCAGAGACGATGAATGTATGTTGCTAAGTTCAATTCAGATACAGTACTTTTGTTGGTACATTTACGTTGGTACAAACTTTCATAAAATTTTTGCACAAAATTCTTTAGTATAGTCTGTTCCACTTTTTGGTTGAACTTGGATTTAGCACTATCAGGCAGTCAGAAACACTACCTGATAGTGCTAAGTTTAAGTTCAACCAAAAGGTGGAACAGATTATACTAGAGAATTTTGTGCAAAAATTTTATGAAAGTTTGTACCAACGTAAATGTACCAACAAAAGTACTGTATCTGAATTGAACTTAGCAACATACATTCATCGTCTCTGATAGGAGAAAGGAATATAATTAACAGTAAGACTTCATTTTGTTAATACCCATAATCTTGTGTATTTTTTATATACCGCTTTACCATTTTAACTAGATGTACAGGAATTTTATAATGTCCGTGTAACCATCTCATTCTTCGGGTTTGTGATATGCAAACTTATAGTGTACAAGTGCCATATCGTGGTTAATGGTAAATTCAGTTGTCACGTCACTTTGAATTAATGGAGAAAAGTGAGTTCAAACTAAATGAACAAAAACATTAGGAATTGCCGATAAGGCATCTGGGAATTGCAAGTGCTTCGAACTAAATGGAGTTTTAAATTAAGTTAAATTAAGCAAGTTCAAATTAACAATTATTCAGATCAAATGATAGCCATAATTATTAATTCTATTTTTCTAATAATTTTCATCATTATAATAATTAAATATGTTACAATTTTTATTAGAGAAAACTTCCAGCTCTAGCAAGAGTTAAACAAGCTCGAGTGCCAAATGCTTATGACAAAACAGCTCTGAAATTGGAGGTTAGTATAAATTTTCAGTACTAATTTGGTTTATTCTTTAAAACTCAGAATTACTGTAATTTAATATAAGAATTTAGTGATATAATTTATTAATTAAGTATTATTGATTTTGATACTGTGATTTAGGAATTATATTTTGTTAACATGAAAGAAGAATTGCTCTTATTAATATTATTTAATTTGAATGTTACAAATATTAAAATGAAATTTTTAAATGAATGATAAAACTTCATTAACTTTCTTTTTTGTAAGCTGATTGAAATCAAGAGTGTTTAATGTCACACAATATATTTTACCACACAGATAGATTTACATATGAAAATTCAAATTTGCTATAGCTGTTACTGACTGTAGTATTTGTCAAAAGACATTATATAATATACAATTACATACTTAGCTGAAGTGTATATGAAGTTTATTGTCGTTAGTAAACTTGGAAAGTTGAGGAGCAAATTTTCTTTAAAAATAGGGTTAAAAAAGTGATGAGTTTTCATAAAGAAAATGCCAAAAAAACTACTCCTAAAAACATATGAAAGTAAAACTATTGTTTTATTGTACATAAAAGTATACTTAGAGAACACAAAACTGGAGAAAAATGGTAGAAAAATTGAAACTAGTCAGTCACTTTCAGAATCTGGTCCATCAGTTTCATAGTTTACAAACAGCAAAACATTGTATTTGTAAACACATAGTAGTTCTACATTCTCTGTGATCAATTGCAGATGGTGCAAAGAAAGTGAATCATTGAATTTGAACAATTTCTCAACACCATCAAATGTGAGAGGAGTATATTTGGTTTTCACTAAAACTCCAGGCTTTATGACTGAAGAGATTTAGGAATTATATTTTGAATACAGTAGAACCTCGAAAACNGCGATGATGTTTTACGCATCCCTTTTAGCGTCTTTGTATGAATACTGACGCAATTTTTCGCCGCGTCATAGGAATCTACGTTTTTTATTACTCCAGGAATCTACGTTATTGAAACCCGCATTATAGGGGGGTCTACTGTACCATTTCGTTCTATCACCACTGCAGCATTAGTAACGCAGTTCAGCGCCTGTGCACACACGTCTCTCTAATTGATTGTCAGTCTGGTGACGCCATTACAGCCAGATTGTGTTGTTTTTCCACGTGTTAGTGAGCGTTCAAAATGTTTAAGACGATTGCTGATCCCACCGACTGTGAAGTGCGTTCTGTAATACGATTTTTGAATGCAAAGAATGTTAAGCCAGTTGAAATTCATTGTCAACTTATAGAGATTTATGGTGAAAATGTAATGAGTGATGGAATGGTGAGAAAGTGGGTTCAACAATTCAATGCTGGACGCACCAATGTTCATGACGAAGCACGGAGTGGCCGGCCTTCTGTTGTCAATAATGGTTTGGTTGCAAAAGTGAATGAGAAAATTCTTGAAAACACACAGTTCACAATAAGATTGCTTTGTGATGAGTTTCCACAAATTTCAAAAACTGTTTTGCATGAGATTGTCACAAATCGCTTAAATTATCGCAAATTTTGTCCCCGTTGGGTTCCCAAAATGTTTATAGATGTCCACAAAATGAAGCGACTTGGAAGTGCTTTGACATTTCTTACCCGATACAGTGAAGAGGGAGGGTAAAGATTTCCTAAACAAAATAGTTACCGGTGATGAAACTTGGGTTTGTCATGTCACTCCAGAATCAAAACAACAGTCGATGGAGTGGAGGCACTCATGGTCCCCCACGAGACACAAATTCAAAACAACGTTGTCAGCATGAAAAATCATGTGCACTGTGTTCTGGGACAGACATGGCATTCTGCTTGATGACATCCTTCCCAGAGGTGAAACCATCAATGTGGAATGATACTGTGAAACATTGCGAAAACTTCACCGTGCAATTCAAAACAAAAGACGTGGAAATCTCAGTAAAGGCATTGTGTTGCTTCATGACAACGCACGTCCCCATACTGCTGGTGTCACTCAAAACCTTATTCAATAATTCGGTTGGAAGCAGTTCGATCACCCACCATACAGCCCTGACCTCACACCTGCAGACTTTGTTCTTGAACTTGAAGCGTGATTTTGGAGGGAGGCGCTTTGCCAGCGATGAACATGCAACAACCAATGTTCAGCAGTGGCTGTCTTCACTGGCGGCATCTTTCTTTGAAGAGGGTATAGACAAGTTGGTTTCCCGATATGACAAATGTCTGAACAATGGTGGTAACTATGTAGAAAAATAATTTCCGACATGCTCTTTCATGTAAAAATAAATTTTGTTTTGAAAAAAGATTTTTTATGTGTCCTGAAAGTAAGTACCATTTTTTCCAAAATGGTACTTACTTTCAGGACACATCTTGTAGTTAATTGGGGCCTCCTGTCCCTAAGGTTTCCATATCTGATCTTGTCTTTCATCTATCCAATTCCTAAGAATAGACTTCCCAACAAGTTAAAGTACTTTATCTTAGGAAAGTATTTTTCAGTTATAAATATCATAAAACAAGTTTGTCAATGAATGATTGTAAATTCTTGTTATAGCAATTTAAGTTTGTAAATGAAATGGCAAAACAGAAAAATGTTTACTTTATAATGTCTTCTTTTAAATGATGTAAACTTTTTTTTTTATATATTAATTAATATTGACAATAGAGAAAAAAACATTTTGTAAAATAAAAAAAGAATTACTTTCATGAAAAAGTGTAACCTTTTTCTTATATTTTTAATTAAATTATTTTTCTCTCTGAAAATATATACAAGATCTTGACAATTACATTTCAGGAATGAGAATTTAAAGGAAACAATATAAAGGGATAAAAATTTTTTTATCATTGTTCAAGTTAATCTTGTCAAGAAACATGCACATTTTCCTACATATAATTTCCCCATCTCACATAATTGTTAGAAGTATAAAAACTAATTTGCTATCATCAGTTCCTTACTAAATATAATGTTCAAATTGCATTTTTTGTTTTGATTGATGATTTGACTTTAGAAAAAATATAATAGTAGTAGGGGAGAGAATAGCAGATTATTTATGTTAGGCATTATTATGCAGGCAAGAACTATCTTATTTTCTTCTGAAATTCAAGTCTTATTTCGTGAATTCTTTTAAACTAAACAATTCAGAATTTCTTATTCATTGTCTCACATTTGTGGAACAAAGTTCTTGTGATTAATTCTGATATTATCAAAGAACATTATGCACTATCAGTACAAATATCTTGATGGTTTAAACATTATATTTGTATTGTAAGCACTTATAAGTTGAATGGCAAATAATACATGAATCAACTGGTAGATGAAAGAAAACAGATCAATCAACCACCACAAACATTGAATTTTGTTTTTATATTCTTTTACATTCTTGTAATAGATTTGACCCCAAAAATTAATTACTAAATATTGTATATTTTAAATATATTCTAATTATAGAAACAAAGTTTATTATTTATCTCCTTCTCAGCACTATTAATTATAATAATAAGAAACAAAGTTTTATTTTTAATAACTGCAAAACTGTTAAATATGCAAATTTATGTAGATTAATTTTGTGTGTGAGAATTATTAAATCAATGATTACCATCAAACCCTTATTATAGTCATAAAGAAAGAATCCAGAATAAAACTTGGTGCCACAACTAAATGAGTATACAAACATTTAAAATGTTCTAATTCTTATTTGTTTTCCATGTTTGAGTGCTGATTATGACTTGTAGTGAGTTGTAAAGGTTTCATTAATGATTTGGTTTCCTCAATTAGTAGTAATTTATATTACTCATTTAATAAAGAAAGCTCATTTATGTACATTTTATAATTTTTTTAGGAAATATATTTACATTGAGAAGTAAATGATATCAAAAACAAAGTTCTATTAATTATACCATTGCAAAATAAAAGTATTAGAATTTCTAAAAAGTTCTTATTATGTTGCATTCATGTTTTAATAGCATCTAGTATTTGTTTCATTTATATTCTTTGCATTAATTATTTATTTTAATTACATTTTATTTTACTGATGTTTATCTTAAAAACTAAAATAGAATAAATATTATTAAATGTTATCTTTTATGATTTATGAAATGTTATGATTTTATTTTTTATGTATTGTAAGCGGTTTTCTCTGTATTAATAATACATGAAAGAGAAAATCAAGTAGAAAATTTCAAATATTTCATTCACCATAAAGTTAAATTTATTAAAAATTCTTTAAGAAAGCAAAATGTGAATAAAATAGCTATATTAATTTTTATTGATAAGTTGATTTTGGTGACACTTGTCTTTGTCATTACATCAATTAAGAGTAATTGTAATGCTTAATGTATTCTTTTGTATACTCTGTGTTTGATATACAGTATATATATAGTTTTTGATGAATTTGTGTAATGGTTTTAGTAAAAATATCTGTACAAATAAATTATTGTTTATTTTAATTAGGTATGTAGTTATTTATTAAAAAAATAAATAAATTTTTTCTAATTTATCAACTGTAATTGAATTCAGCTATTAATGCTTGCCTGAAAATATATTAATCTTTGTGTTTTCATGTGTATGTCAAGAACTTGGATTTAATTTTACAATTTTAAGTTTTGTTTTAGAATCTATATAAAATAATACATTTATTTTTTTCAACATGTGGTTATTTTTGTGACCTGAATTTTATAGTATGAATATCAGGAAAATACTAAGTATTTTGTTTTGTTTGGCTTATTTTTATAATTGGCGGTCGCCATGTATCTTTTGTGTAAAGAATTATGTAAATATAACTACTCATATAAACAAAGATCATTATATCATGATCTTTAATGCTAACAATGAAGGAAGTACTGTATAATTTTAAATACAGGAAAATGATGTGATTTGAATTTACAGTAGTTAAAAGTTTGAACAATAAATGATCATATTATCTTTGCAATAAATTCAATTAACAATAATTTATTATTTAAGTATATATTTCTATTGTTATATTTGTGATGTATTGTAATTTATTTTCCAACTCAAGATTTACATAAACCTAATAAAACTCTTGAAAATTTTATTTATCAAAAAATACTTTAAAATTAAATTCATTCTCTGAAAAATCTTCCCCAAATTTTTATTTATTTAGTTACTATAAACTGATTCTCTAGTGGTTCAAATGTAATAATAATAAAAAACAAACAAGATGTTTTCCTGTCTTGGGTTTTTTTTTTTATTAAATTTGATTCTAAAAAGTGTGACAGTTGTGAAAATGAGTCATTAAATTCTTTAAGTGAGTCATTATATTTTTAAATTTCTTATAAATCTAGGTCCTAATCAGTCAATTTATAATAACGTACAACTACACACTGGAGTTTACTAAATATTACGTACCTCCGAAACCTTTAAATTTATTCACATCGGTTAAAGGTTTTGGAGGTACGTAATATTCAGTCAATTTATCATAGTGATTCAACTTTGACAAAGTTTAAAGTTTTAATATCCTTTTTAATTACAGCCTCTTCATTTTTTTAGTAGGTCTATCAATTTCTATATCATTTTCTTGTTCTTACAAGCAGTATTGTTATTAATCAATCTTTTGCCAATAAAAATCTTTAATAAGTCATATAGGTCATTTACTGGATCCATAATTTTCTTACATGATTGCAATAATTACATGTTTATATTTTTTTCCTTGATATAATCATGTTTCTTGTCACAACAACTCTCCATATCTTCACATCTTTTCTAGTACTGTTTTTTTTTTATAAATGTACCAGATATTTTTATTTACATTATCATTTTTAAGTATGTTAGAAATACTTACATTTTGCAATTATAAAAGATTAGTTGATAACTTCCTTATGCAGAGCACTTTGATTCATTACATTAGTTTCATCTGCTTCAATTGAAACAATTCGTTACATTTACAAGATGTCAGATTACACTTTGTAATAGGTTTTAAGTTAGTAGTCATCTTGTAAATTTTGAAAAATCTTTCTAATTTTTCAAATCCTAATTTATTTTAGTCTATAAATAAATATGTTTATATATATATATAATTTTGAAACAAATTTTTTGAACTTGAATAACTTTGTAAATAAATTATCCAATCTTGATTTGAAAAATAATAATTTTCTGTTTGTTTCTTAATATTTGAAAAAAAAATAAGACAAATTATGAGCTTTATCTTTATGCAAAATGGTGTATGTCTATAACAAATATTTCATATACCATTGTCCCTGCTTAATTTGAAATGCTCAGGACCTTGAAAATGGGACTTTGTATTATCTGATTTCAAAATTTAGGGGTAATGTTTTTTAAACAAATATCTGTATGGATTTTTACACTGTTCTACAGACCATCGTTGCTATATATCGTGCCAAAAATTTTGGTAAAAAGCATTTTTAAATTTTTGATTTTCAGTTCCTAATTGGGCTAGAATCGATCTGTTTTTATTTTTTATCACAAACATATCATAGTATACTATTGTTATACTTTTAATATAACACAGGTTAAAAGAAATTATTTTAAAAATTCAAAAAACACATAAATTTTATTAAGAGTGTTAAACACAAGATCATGTTAATAATCAATCACATGGCTTCTTTTCCATCATTATTTATACGGTATTTCAATATTATATTTTACAAGTAAATTGCACAAACAATATAAAATATATGTATGTAACTTACACATATCATTAACCACGATATGGCACTTGTACACTATAAGTTTGCATATCACAAACCCGAAGAATGAGATGGTTACACGGACATTATAAAATTCCTGTACATCTAGTTAAAATGGTAAAGCGGTATATAAAAAATACACAAGATTATGGGTATTAACAAAATGAAGTCTTACTGTTAATTATATTCCTTTCTCCTATCAGAGACGATGAATGTATGTTGCTAAGTTCAATTCAGATACAGTACTTTTGTTGGTACATTTACGTTGGTACAAACTTTCATAAAATTTTTGCACAAAATTCTCTAGTATAATCTGTTCCACCTTTTGGTTGAACTTAAACTTAGCACTATCAGGTAGTGTTTCTGACTGCCTGATAGTGCTAAATCCAAGTTCAACCAAAAAGTGGAACAGACTATACTAAAGAATTTTGTGCAAAAATTTTATGAAAGTTTGTACCAACGTAAATGTACCAACAAAAGTACTGTATCTGAATTGAACTTAGCAACATACATTCATCGTCTCTGATAGGAGAAAGGAATATAATTAACAGTAAGACTTCATTTTGTTAATACCCATAATCTTGTGTATTTTTTATATACCGCTTTACCATTTTAACTAGATGTACAGGAATTTTATAATGTCCGTGTAACCATCTCATTCTTCGGGTTTGTGATATGCAAACTTATAGTGTACAAGTGCCATATCGTGGTTAATGGTAAATTCAGTTGTCACGTCACTTTGAATTAATGGAGAAAAGTGAGTTCAAACTAAATGAACAAAAACATTAGGAATTGCCGATAAGGCATCTGGGAATTGCAAGTGCTTCGAACTAAATGGAGTTTAAATTAAGTTAAATTAAGCAAGTTCAAATTAACAATTATTCAGATCAAATGATAGCCATAATTATTAATTCTATTTTTCTAATAATTTTCATCATTATAATAATTAAATATGTTACAATTTTTATTAGAGAAAACTTCCAGCTCTAGCAAGAGTTAAACAAGCTCGAGTGCCAAATGCTTATGACAAAACAGCTCTGAAATTGGAGGTTAGTATAAATTTTCAGTACTAATTTGGTTTATTCTTTAAAACTCAGAATTACTGTAATTTAATATAAGAATTTAGTGATATAATTTATTAATTAAGTATTATTGATTTTGATACTGTGATTTAGGAATTATATTTTGTTAACATGAAAGAAGAATTGCTCTTATTAATATTATTTAATTTGAATGTTACAAATATTAAAATGAAATTTTTAAATGAATGATAAAACTTCATTAACTTTCTTTTTTGTAAGCTGATTGAAATCAAGAGTGTTTAATGTCACACAATATATTTTACCACACAGATAGATTTACATATGAAAATTCAAATTTGCTATAGCTGTTACTGACTGTAGTATTTGTCAAAAGACATTATATAATATACAATTACATACTTAGCTGAAGTGTATATGAAGTTTATTGTCGTTAGTAAACTTGGAAAGTTGAGGAGCAAATTTTCTTTAAAAATAGGGTTAAAAAAGTGATGAGTTTTCATAAAGAAAATGCCAAAAAAACTACTCCTAAAAACATATGAAAGTAAAACTATTGTTTTATTGTACATAAAAGTATACTTAGAGAACACAAAACTGGAGAAAAATGGTAGAAAAATTGAAACTAGTCAGTCACTTTCAGAATCTGGTCCATCAGTTTCATAGTTTACAAACAGCAAAACATTGTATTTGTAAACACATAGTAGTTCTACATTCTCTGTGATCAATTGCAGATGGTGCAAAGAAAGTGAATCATTGAATTTGAACAATTTCTCAACACCATCAAATGTGAGAGGAGTATATTTGGTTTTCACTAAAACTCCAGGCTTTATGACTGAAGAGATTTAGGAATTATATTTTGAATACAGTAGAACCTCGAAAACTCGGCTCTCGATAACCCGGCACTCCGGATAACTCGGCCACACCCTGGCAGGGCAAAAGATCCTTAGTTAATTAATTTTCATTATAGACAGCTTTATAAAAGTATAAAAGCTCTCATAAAGTATTTTTATGAGGTCTGTCTTATCAGGTAAATTACTGTACACAGTGTATTCATTAATTTTCGTTTTCATGTAGTAAAGGCTCTATGCTTTCATAAAGTACGTACTTTTCCTTTGTTTAAGGGTATTTGAGCAGTTTATTCTCTGTTGTATTCTCTAGCAAACAATACATACAAGTACAGTACACTCTTTTCTGAGGAAACACGCATACTTATCCTTTTTTAACCCCATTCCCGATAACCCGGCATTTTCACAAACTCGGCCACCCTTCGGTCCACATTAGGCCGAGTTTTCGAGGTTCTACTGTATCTGGATTTTTGCTCAGGGGATGCTCAATTTTCTCTAAAGCAAATCCATCCAATTGGTTTTTGCATGTTTAAAAATATCTCACTAGTTTTCAGTACACTGTTTGCTTTCCTCATGCTTAGAAACTGAACTGCACAGGAACTTGTATAAATGAAAAATGTAGAGTTTCTTTAACATGTCTTCTTGTTTCAACAGACTCTTGAGTTTCATTGTGGCCACTGAAGACTTTTCTTCCAGTTTATCAATAAGTGCTGCCATGGATGAGAAATTTTTGGCATAAAAACAAATCCCATTTGAATCCAAATGTTCTATCTGGTTATTACAGGGTGTTCTAGGAGTGGTAAGGTAATTATATCTCTATATAGATGTACAGTCACAGGACATTTAATCAAAGCCTGTTTTATTTCCAAAACAAAATCATTAGCCCAAGAAAATTCTGTCCAAATTGCTTCACACACCCTTTTAAGGCATTGGGCAGGACAAGCAACATATCTTAGATTTGGATTCATCAATTTTATATTTGAACATGCACTTGGCACATATGGTGTCTAGTTTGTTACAAGTAGACTAATCTTTTCATGCAGAATGGCAAATTCCATAATTTGGCACATGCATCATTGAAGGTCTGCATAACAGTTGTGGAATTTGTCTTTTCTAGTTTGTGAACTCTTAACAGCATGAATTGTATTGGCTCTCCTATTAATGGACTGATGAAAATGTTCAGCTGATATTTTTGTAGCATATTGGTTGTTTCATCCAAAATAAAAAAAAATCTATGTTGTTTCCTACTATTTCCTGAAAGTTGCTTCATATGCAAGCTACACATAACTTGTTCTTTGGTCAGGGATTGAATGCTTGTATACTTTCTAGAAAAATTTTTGAATGCTGGATGATTTACCTTCTTTAAGAGCAATCCCTGACATTGTTAAAGCTGTCGAATTAATTTAAATTGTTAAAATTGCATAATTTAATAATGCCAAAATAAAACTCTCTTCACTTTTCATTCTTTCTTTCCCTGTTGGCAATATGTTTTGCATATATAATATACTGCTTGATCCCTAAAGAGAGATGATTTTCATCCAAATTTATGTAATGTTGCACAGTTTGCAGTTCACTAGTCATAATTTGTTTGTCTTTAAAATTATTTACTAGCTCCTTCAGTTTTGACTTTGGTATCTTTGACATTTTTTAAACTGACAACATGTCATGTCACCACCACATCTCTTCCTCCGCTTTGTGAATGGTGAAATTGTCCTTATTATTTTACATCATAGGAAGGAATTTAAATATCAAAAGAAATTATTTATTAAAAATTTAATTTCAGATTTATAAATAGAAATAGAAAATTGCACAAATACCTAATTTAGTGCAAAATAGGGAAACTAATATCCCTCCAAATGAAATAAAGATCCATTTTGTGATACTTTGAAACAGTCCTTTGCTCAAATAATGAAGAGGCAATTACCTCATTTACCTAACTTTCATTTTTCTTTTTTGACTCACAATGAAGTAATTTTTAAGACAGTAAACTGTTAGTACATCCACTTTAATACTGTAACTTTTTTACATTAAGTTGTGGGCTAGATGTTTGTGTCTCCAATTTGAACGAAACTTGGTGAGCATGTAGCCCTAAACACAAACAGCTCCTTGTCCAAATAATAGGATGCACTACTCAGGTGTTTCTGAAAAATGGTCATCTGAAAATTGAGTGTTTAGCTTATAAGTCTTTGGAACTTCCATTTTATCCTTGTAATTGTGATAGCTGAGTGCATAAGACACTAGGCAGGCAGAAGATACAAACCTACATCAACTTATGTGATGTAGGTTTGCATCTTCACACTTTGTTTTTTTTTTTTTTTGGATGTGTAACAAAATTATTTTATTATTTTACTGTATCATTAACATTATTATTACCATTGTTATTCGTTACGTTTAAATTTCATAATACAAGAGATTGAAAAATGTCACCATTTCCTGTTTAGTGAAACAAGGTCTCTGACATGAAATAAAATATTTGTTTTTTTATATTTATTTTCAAATATTTTTGCTCCTGATTACATACTATATCAACATAAAGCGAATAAGATTCAGATGTTACTGCGGATGGACGAATAAGACAAGTCTGATATGAAGATAGTGTAACATAGTTGCAGCATTTTTTTTTTTTTTAATTGTTAATGTTATGGACAATTTCCTCATGCACTCATTTGTTACACTTCAAATATAACAATATAACCCTGTCTGAAAATTAATATGAAGAAGTAAAAATTTTATTTAATGACATAAAAGAGTTAAATCTACAGACTTGTTATTTCATATTTAGCAAAATAGGTTTTTTAAAATCTCTTTTATAAGCTTTAAGTATGAGGAATAACAATAGTAATAATAATGCTAATGATACAGTAAAAGAATAAAATAATTTTGTTACGCATTTAAAAACGCAAAAAAAAACTAAAAGCAAGAAGGCTCAAACCTACATCATGCAGCTGTTTTGTCAATTGTCTTATGTCCTCTACTATTGTAATTACAAGAAGTGAACCTTATAAAGGTTTATAAGCTAAATACTCAATTTTCAGAGGTCTGTTTTTTGAAAATGCTTGAGATGTGGATCATATTATTTTGGTAAGGATCTTTGTGTTTAGGGCAATGTGCTAGCCAAGTTTTGTTCAAATCGGAGATACAAACGTCTGACTCTCCTTGTTAGAGAACATTGGTTTACAGCTTTTGCTATTTTTCATTTTTACCTTTAAAATTACATTAAATTTGAAATTTCAGTTTTTGTAAATTTTATTTAATTAAGTTATTTCATCTCTCTAACATATATTATGAGGAAAGGATAATGCACAATTGTTATAAGTAAAGTATCCATGATTACCACAAATATATTCTACTGTATAATGTACAACTTGAATATTTTTAAAATAAAATTCAATTAGCTATTGACATAATCTAAAAATTTTTAATTTTATTTTTATTTTAAATAATTTATTTGAAAATTAAATATAGTTATATAAAATTAAATACAGTATTGTTATCATTAAATTTGACTTTATTTGGTACATTTGATATATCACAGTTTACTAGAAATATATTGATAACATTGAGAGTTAAGTGTATTTATGTGTGATAACAGAAAATATTTATCTGATTTAAATGTTTATATCATGATTGGTTGCATCTAGATTTGTGTCTTCAGGTCAGTAGAATTTAAAATTCCGTAACATGGAATTTACGAAAAAAATGTTAAACTAATTATTTAATAATAATAATAGTTTAATAGTTAATATTTAATAATTATTAAATAGTCATCTCATTTAAAAGANGCGGCATCTTTCTTTGAAGAGGGTATAGACAAGTTGGTTTCCCGATATGACAAATGTCTGAACAATGGTGGTAACTATGTAGAAAAATAATTTCCGACATGCTCTTTCATGTAAAAATAAATTTTGTTTTGAAAAAAGATTTTTATGTGTCCTGAAAGTAAGTACCATTTTTTCCAAAATGGTACTTTCAGGACACATCTTGTAGTTAATTGGGGCCTCCTGTCCCTAAGGTTTCCATATCTGATCTTGTCTTTCATCTATCCAATTCCTAAGAATAGACTTCCCAACAAGTTAAAGTACTTTATCTTAGGAAAGTATTTTTCAGTTATAAATATCATAAAACAAGTTTGTCAATGAATGATTGTAAATTCTTGTTATAGCAATTTAAGTTTGTAAATGAAATGGCAAAACAGAAAAATGTTTACTTTATAATGTCTTCTTTTAAATGATGTAAACTTTTTTTTTTATATATTAATTAATATTGACAATAGAGAAAAAAACATTTTGTAAAATAAAAAAAGAATTACTTTCATGAAAAAGTGTAACCTTTTTCTTATATTTTTAATTAAATTATTTTTCTCTCTGAAAATATATACAAGATCTTGACAATTACATTTCAGGAATGAGAATTTAAAGGAAACAATATAAAGGGATAAAAATTTTTTTATCATTGTTCAAGTTAATCTTGTCAAGAAACATGCACATTTTCCTACATATAATTTCCCCATCTCACATAATTGTTAGAAGTATAAAAACTAATTTGCTATCATCAGTTCCTTACTAAATATAATGTTCAAATTGCATTTTTTGTTTTGATTGATGATTTGACTTTAGAAAAAATATAATAGTAGTAGGGGAGAGAATAGCAGATTATTTATGTTAGGCATTATTATGCAGGCAAGAACTATCTTATTTTCTTCTGAAATTCAAGTCTTATTTCGTGAATTCTTTTAAACTAAACAATTCAGAATTTCTTATTCATTGTCTCACATTTGTGGAACAAAGTTCTTGTGATTAATTCTGATATTATCAAAGAACATTATGCACTATCAGTACAAATATCTTGATGGTTTAAACATTATATTTGTATTGTAAGCACTTATAAGTTGAATGGCAAATAATACATGAATCAACTGGTAGATGAAAGAAAACAGATCAATCAACCACCACAAACATTGAATTTTGTTTTTATATTCTTTTACATTCTTGTAATAGATTTGACCCCAAAAATTAATTACTAAATATTGTATATTTTAAATATATTCTAATTATAGAAACAAAGTTTATTATTTATCTCCTTCTCAGCACTATTAATTATAATAATAAGAAACAAAGTTTTATTTTTAATAACTGCAAAACTGTTAAATATGCAAATTTATGTAGATTAATTTTGTGTGTGAGAATTATTAAATCAATGATTACCATCAAACCCTTATTATAGTCATAAAGAAAGAATCCAGAATAAAACTTGGTGCCACAACTAAATGAGTATACAAACATTTAAAATGTTCTAATTCTTATTTGTTTTCCATGTTTGAGTGCTGATTATGACTTGTAGTGAGTTGTAAAGGTTTCATTAATGATTTGGTTTCCTCAATTAGTAGTAATTTATATTACTCATTTAATAAAGAAAGCTCATTTATGTACATTTTATAATTTTTTTAGGAAATATATTTACATTGAGAAGTAAATGATATCAAAAACAAAGTTCTATTAATTATACCATTGCAAAATAAAAGTATTAGAATTTCTAAAAAGTTCTTATTATGTTGCATTCATGTTTTAATAGCATCTAGTATTTGTTTCATTTATATTCTTTGCATTAATTATTTATTTTAATTACATTTTATTTTACTGATGTTTATCTTAAAAACTAAAATAGAATAAATATTATTAAATGTTATCTTTTATGATTTATGAAATGTTATGATTTTATTTTTTATGTATTGTAAGCGGTTTTCTCTGTATTAATAATACATGAAAGAGAAAATCAAGTAGAAAATTTCAAATATTTCATTCACCATAAAGTTAAATTTATTAAAAATTCTTTAAGAAAGCAAAATGTGAATAAAATAGCTATATTAATTTTTATTGATAAGTTGATTTTGGTGACACTTGTCTTTGTCATTACATCAATTAAGAGTAATTGTAATGCTTAATGTATTCTTTTGTATACTCTGTGTTTGATATACAGTATATATATAGTTTTTGATGAATTTGTGTAATGGTTTTAGTAAAAATATCTGTACAAATAAATTATTGTTTATTTTAATTAGGTATGTAGTTATTTATTAAAAAAATAAATAAATTTTTTCTAATTTATCAACTGTAATTGAATTCAGCTATTAATGCTTGCCTGAAAATATATTAATCTTTGTGTTTTCATGTGTATGTCAAGAACTTGGATTTAATTTTACAATTTTAAGTTTTGTTTTAGAATCTATATAAAATAATACATTTATTTTTTTCAACATGTGGTTATTTTTGTGACCTGAATTTTATAGTATGAATATCAGGAAAATACTAAGTATTTTGTTTTGTTTGGCTTATTTTTATAATTGGCGGTCGCCATGTATCTTTTGTGTAAAGAATTATGTAAATATAACTACTCATATAAACAAAGATCATTATATCATGATCTTTAATGCTAACAATGAAGGAAGTACTGTATAATTTTAAATACAGGAAAATGATGTGATTTGAATTTACAGTAGTTAAAAGTTTGAACAATAAATGATCATATTATCTTTGCAATAAATTCAATTAACAATAATTTATTATTTAAGTATATATTTCTATTGTTATATTTGTGATGTATTGTAATTTATTTTCCAACTCAAGATTTACATAAACCTAATAAAACTCTTGAAAATTTTATTTATCAAAAAATACTTTAAAATTAAATTCATTCTCTGAAAAATCTTCCCCAAATTTTTATTTATTTAGTTACTATAAACTGATTCTCTAGTGGTTCAAATGTAATAATAATAAAAAACAAACAAGATGTTTTCCTGTCTTGGGTTTTTTTTTTTATTAAATTTGATTCTAAAAAGTGTGACAGTTGTGAAAATGAGTCATTAAATTCTTTAAGTGAGTCATTATATTTTTAAATTTCTTATAAATCTAGGTCCTAATCAGTCAATTTATAATAACGTACAACTACACACTGGAGTTTACTAAATATTACGTACCTCCGAAACCTTTAAATTTATTCACATCGGTTAAAGGTTTTGGAGGTACGTAATATTCAGTCAATTTATCATAGTGATTCAACTTTGACAAAGTTTAAAGTTTTAATATCCTTTTTAATTACAGCCTCTTCATTTTTTTAGTAGGTCTATCAATTTCTATATCATTTTCTTGTTCTTACAAGCAGTATTGTTATTAATCAATCTTTTGCCAATAAAAATCTTTAATAAGTCATATAGGTCATTTACTGGATCCATAATTTTCTTACATGATTGCAATAATTACATGTTTATATTTTTTTCCTTGATATAATCATGTTTCTTGTCACAACAACTCTCCATATCTTCACATCTTTTCTAGTACTGTTTTTTTTTTATAAATGTACCAGATATTTTTATTTACATTATCATTTTTAAGTATGTTAGAAATACTTACATTTTGCAATTATAAAAGATTAGTTGATAACTTCCTTATGCAGAGCACTTTGATTCATTACATTAGTTTCATCTGCTTCAATTGAAACAATTCGTTACATTTACAAGATGTCAGATTACACTTTGTAATAGGTTTTAAGTTAGTAGTCATCTTGTAAATTTTGAAAAATCTTTCTAATTTTTCAAATCCTAATTTATTTTAGTCTATAAATAAATATGTTTATATATATATATAATTTTGAAACAAATTTTTTGAACTTGAATAACTTTGTAAATAAATTATCCAATCTTGATTTGAAAAATAATAATTTTCTGTTTGTTTCTTAATATTTGAAAAAAAAATAAGACAAATTATGAGCTTTATCTTTATGCAAAATGGTGTATGTCTATAACAAATATTTCATATACCATTGTCCCTGCTTAATTTGAAATGCTCAGGACCTTGAAAATGGGACTTTGTATTATCTGATTTCAAAATTTAGGGGTAATGTTTTTTAAACAAATATCTGTATGGATTTTTACACTGTTCTACAGACCATCGTTGCTATATATCGTGCCAAAAATTTTGGTAAAAAGCATTTTTAAATTTTTGATTTTCAGTTCCTAATTGGGCTAGAATCGATCTGTTTTTATTTTTTATCACAAACATATCATAGTATACAATTGTTATACTTTTAATATAACACAGGTTAAAAGAAATTATTTTAAAAATTCAAAAAACACATAAATTTTATTAAGAGTGTTAAACACAAGATCATGTTAATAATCAATCACATGGCTTCTTTTCCATCATTATTTATACGGTATTTCAATATTATATTTTACAAGTAAATTGCACAAACAATATAAAATATATGTATGTAACTTACACATATCATTAACCACGATATGGCACTTGTACACTATAAGTTTGCATATCACAAACCCGAAGAATGAGATGGTTACACGGACATTATAAAATTCCTGTACATCTAGTTAAAATGGTAAAGCGGTATATAAAAAATACACAAGATTATGGGTATTAACAAAATGAAGTCTTACTGTTAATTATATTCCTTTCTCCTATCAGAGACGATGAATGTATGTTGCTAAGTTCAATTCAGATACAGTACTTTTGTTGGTACATTTACGTTGGTACAAACTTTCATAAAATTTTTGCACAAAATTCTTTAGTATAATCTGTTCCACCTTTTGGTTGAACTTAAACTTAGCACTATCAGGTAGTGTTTCTGACTGCCTGATAGTGCTAAATCCAAGTTCAACCAAAAAGTGGAACAGACTATACTAAAGAATTTTGTGCAAAAATTTTATGAAAGTTTGTACCAACGTAAATGTACCAACAAAAGTACTGTATCTGAATTGAACTTAGCAACATACATTCATCGTCTCTGATAGGAGAAAGGAATATAATTAACAGTAAGACTTCATTTTGTTAATACCCATAATCTTGTGTATTTTTTATATACCGCTTTACCATTTTAACTAGATGTACAGGAATTTTATAATGTCCGTGTAACCATCTCATTCTTCGGGTTTGTGATATGCAAACTTATAGTGTACAAGTGCCATATCGTGGTTAATGGTAAATTCAGTTGTCACGTCACTTTGAATTAATGGAGAAAAGTGAGTTCAAACTAAATGAACAAAAACATTAGGAATTGCCGATAAGGCATCTGGGAATTGCAAGTGCTTCGAACTAAATGGAGTTTAAATTAAGTTAAATTAAGCAAGTTCAAATTAACAATTATTCAGATCAAATGATAGCCATAATTATTAATTCTATTTTTCTAATAATTTTCATCATTATAATAATTAAATATGTTACAATTTTTATTAGAGAAAACTTCCAGCTCTAGCAAGAGTTAAACAAGCTCGAGTGCCAAATGCTTATGACAAAACAGCTCTGAAATTGGAGGTTAGTATAAATTTTCAGTACTAATTTGGTTTATTCTTTAAAACTCAGAATTACTGTAATTTAATATAAGAATTTAGTGATATAATTTATTAATTAAGTATTATTGATTTTGATACTGTGATTTAGGAATTATATTTTGTTAACATGAAAGAAGAATTGCTCTTATTAATATTATTTAATTTGAATGTTACAAATATTAAAATGAAATTTTTAAATGAATGATAAAACTTCATTAACTTTCTTTTTTGTAAGCTGATTGAAATCAAGAGTGTTTAATGTCACACAATATATTTTACCACACAGATAGATTTACATATGAAAATTCAAATTTGCTATAGCTGTTACTGACTGTAGTATTTGTCAAAAGACATTATATAATATACAATTACATACTTAGCTGAAGTGTATATGAAGTTTATTGTCGTTAGTAAACTTGGAAAGTTGAGGAGCAAATTTTCTTTAAAAATAGGGTTAAAAAAGTGATGAGTTTTCATAAAGAAAATGCCAAAAAAACTACTCCTAAAAACATATGAAAGTAAAACTATTGTTTTATTGTACATAAAAGTATACTTAGAGAACACAAAACTGGAGAAAAATGGTAGAAAAATTGAAACTAGTCAGTCACTTTCAGAATCTGGTCCATCAGTTTCATAGTTTACAAACAGCAAAACATTGTATTTGTAAACACATAGTAGTTCTACATTCTCTGTGATCAATTGCAGATGGTGCAAAGAAAGTGAATCATTGAATTTGAACAATTTCTCAACACCATCAAATGTGAGAGGAGTATATTTGGTTTTCACTAAAACTCCAGGCTTTATGACTGAAGAGATTTAGGAATTATATTTTGAATACAGTAGAACCTCGAAAACTCGGCTCTCGATAACCCGGCACTCCGGATAACTCGGCCACACCCTGGCAGGGCAAAAGATCCTTAGTTAATTAATTTTCATTATAGACAGCTTTATAAAAGTATAAAAGCTCTCATAAAGTATTTTTATGAGGTCTGTCTTATCAGGTAAATTACTGTACACAGTGTATTCATTAATTTTCGTTTTCATGTAGTAAAGGCTCTATGCTTTCATAAAGTATGTACTTTTCCTTTGTTTAAGGGTATTTGAGCAGTTTATTCTCTGTTGTATTCTCTAGCAAACAATACATACAAGTACAGTACACTCTTTTCTGAGGAAACACT